TATATATTTAACAATAATAAATAATATAGTATATGATATATAATATCTTATATATATATTTTTTTAATATATCATATTTTATAATAAAGATAGAATAATATATAATGCATTTTATTTAATAATTTATTATATAATACATGATATATAATATATAATATATATAAAATATATATTATATAATATATATATATAATATATATTATATAATATATATATTATTTAATATATAATATAATATATATATATGTATATGATTTATTTCATATTTACCACAAAGTAAGCATGTTAGAGGAGATCCGATTCTTGGACGAGATCGGGTGTTCCAGTAAGTTGAGTTTTACTTCTTCGACGCCTCACCGGCCACAGTTATACCTGCAGAAGTTGGGAGATTAACCCTATACCTATGGTTATATATACATACAATAGTAGGGTTAAATATGTATATATACATATTTTTAATATATATAATAGTTGATATAGTTATATGTATACCTATGTTATAATACATATATATATATATATGTACATATCCAATCAATAATTATAACTGGAACTGCAACCCCAAGTTTTCTTGCTGGCAATCAAGGATGACAGTTTTCCGGGACTGCTCAACAATCTACACTTTCACCCTGGACCATATTGGATGTTTGCCATGCCTTTTCTAAGTCAAGGCAACCAGATGCTTACTTTGGGACCCATTCCAAGAACACCAGATGTCCTTTTCGCGGCCAATGACGAGCAACTGTCTATGGTTGGATAAGGATAAAAGGATAGATATGAATTGTTGGATATGGATAGATAGACAGATAAATATACTGGTTGGATGCCAACACATATTTGGGAAAACCAATCCTAACGCAGTTTTCCCATTCTGACTTTGGAAAAAGATGGGGTTCTCCCTGATATATGTGAGCTGAAAAACAACAACAACAACATCGTTTTCGATGATCCTACGTATCAACAATTATTGACTATTATTAACCTTTCTAATTGTTATTCATAACACTTATGTAAATATATTACTATCATTAACCCTTATATATATATATATCAACTGTTATATAATTATTATTGATAGCCTCAACTGCGCCCCACGATATTGATTGTCCGATATTTTTGGACGTTTTCGCCAAGGACCTTGGAAGAGCAACGGATGAAATTGATCGATCGCGAAGCCTTCCCTGTCACAGCTGCCCGGTCTTCTTCAATAGTGCCTGGAGAGCCTGGAGGATCAACAACAACCATCCCCAAATAGATAAATAGTAGGTTACCACAAGTATTGGCTTTACCACAAACAAACTGGGGAGTTGACCATGAAACTGCCGATTTTGCCATGAAAAAAATCGTTGGAAGTCTTCACCCTTGATGGTCAAGATGGGGGATAAATCCCAGGGTTTTGTTGATGTTCAATTCTCATATGGGTCCTGTATACATGGGGAAAAAACCCTTCTAAATGGCCATTGTTTATGGGGAAAATGATCATTAACCATTGGATTCAAAGGTACCATATTTTCAGACAGCCATATCTTGATTTGTGTGTGGTTCCATCCACATGGCTTGCTGGCCTGAATCTTTCTCACTTTTCTGGACGATCAACGGTGATTGAATGTAAAATCTCATGCTGAATATTCCATCAATGAACATTTATGATTATGATCTAATCTACTGAATATGTCATCGAATATTCCATCATAAGTTGTTAGTACATATTCATAAATATTCCATGTTACGAAGTCTTTTCTCATTTTTGAAAGCTAAGAACATTATGATTACCCTATGGTTATGACTAACATAGCCATGGTATAGATGGCCCATTTATCGATGGTTTACCTATTAAAAATAGTGGATCTTTCCATGGCAAACTGTTAACCAAATGGTATCCCGGAGTTTGAGCCATCTCTGATTTCGCTTCCGTTGATCATCCTGCTAAGTCGGTGATCAAATGGGAAACCAAAATGGAACGAGGTGCCGGCGCGGTGAGGATAGAAAATTGGGCTGTTGGAAAAGCCGCATAAACCATGGGAATTGAAGCATATTGATGCATCAACCTTCAGGTGATGAATCGAGGAAACTTGGAGAAATCTGACATGATGATATTTTATGATATTTTGATGCTCGGGGGGTAGGACTGGGACACATTCCGAATATCGGAATCCCACGCACAAGCAGGAAAGGGATAAGGGAAGATGAATATAAGCAGTAGAACTTGATCCCCAGTGACCCCCAATTGAGAGAGGCCTGCAATGGGGATACCAAAATCATCCAAATGATTGGTAATTTTTAATATTTTGAGGGGGTAATTTATGATGTAATCGTCAACTTCACGTTCTGTGTTTCTGGACACATTTCTCTGAGTATGTCCTTGCTTTTCGTGTTGTTTTTTCTTGGTCGGACAGCATATTGTTCCTGGGAACATCCATTTCATAGCCCAGCACATATTCTCTCCCCCAGGGTCTGGGCAGGTTTGGGTTTCAGGGTTGATTTTGTGTACCTTTTGGTTTGAACTAATCCTGGTGTCACACCTCCACCTGTAAAAGGTAGCCCCGTAGCCACCATTTAATTTGGTGATGGTAAAATACCAAAAATCATCAAACATTGCATGCCCTTTGGCACCAGTTTTGAGCCATGGTTACTTGGGGCTGGCCCCAACGGTCTGTCCGTCTCCCGTCTCCGAAAATGGATCCTGAAAGCTGCTTTACCCACTGGAAGCAGCAAAATGTTGGTGTTTCATCTAAGAATCTAAGATTCCATTGTCTAGCACCCGCCGAAACGACAGACAAGTTCATCCAAGATGTTATGGATCATGTTTTTTCCGTTCCAACTTTTCTGATTATCTTTTTAGGGGGTTCTAGAAGAGGTATCAATTTGCAACACTGCAACACTGTCATGTCAAATCTCGGGGCGGTGTGTTCACACCTGAAGAGGTTTCGCATCTGCCAAAGACATGATCGACATCATGCCACTTGGGTCCAAAGGGGACCTCGTGTGGAAATGATGAAAATGATCGTCCATTTTCGCTTCGGTATGGTCATCGTTCCATTATGTCATTATGTTCCATTTTAGTATCTTTTTTTAGATACAGATTATAATCATTTATGGTTATATTTATGGTGCTATGATAAATGATGATCCATGACACAGATCATTTTCGTTTCAGGTTTCGTAGCATGGCCATGACCATAGCCATCCATGAATCCCATGGGATGCTGATCGTGTGCCGATCTTGTTGCCATGGCTTGTCTGACAATCCGGATAATTTAAGTGTTAATTTGTCACATTCTGTCACCCATCTCAATACAACCTCATCTAACCTCATCTGATGTAATTAAGATTAATTAATCAATGGTTAGTATGGGAGGAGCTATAAAAAAAACATGGCCTGAACACAAGATACAGCAAGGGGGCCATGGCTCGCCATGGTCCCATGGTGTATTCACGTTGATGCTTGGAGGACCATTCCACTTAGTAAGTGGTTAGTAACCCAGGTGATCGGCTTCGCCCCGAGAATCGTGGATTATCCTATTTTTCATGTGGTTAAAACATGTTAAAACAATAAACTACCCATGACTGGGAATGGCAATCATACCACCTATAAAAATGGTGATGACTAGGGGATCGTTTACTATTGTTTTAACCACATGATACAATATTATACATATAAAAAAATACATGGCTTATAATATACTTTATACATGGCTTATAAAAAATAACATGTTATAAGCCCACTTACTGATACTGGTTCATAGCCTATAGAACATCGCAGTCATCCGATCCGCCAAGATATTCTGGTTGGTGGTGACTGGAACCATGGAATTTTGTATTATTTTATGTTTCCATATATTGGGAATGATTTAATCATAATCCCAACTGATTTTCATATTTTTCAGAGGGGTAGGGCTCAACCGCCAACAAGTATTTATATTTGAAGGATTTTGAATGTGTCAATACCGATGATAACACAACAGATCCATCTATACAACAGCTACCAGTATTTTGGTGTGAAATCAGGGTCTCATCACGGGTTCACCCATATCGAGAATTTCGAGTGTTAAGCAACCAAGACGGTATTTCAACCAGCAAAACTGCAGATTCTTCCGATTGAAAATGGTATCTTAACACTTGACCAACAAAAAGGCACGGATTAATCAACCAATAGTCAGGATTGAACCACTCCAAATTGAGATTTCACTTGAGTTAACCACTCAAATCCAGAGTTTTTACACTGGGATTCAAGAAGATTTCATTACCCACTCCAAATTGGGATTTCGTAATCTTTTTTCACCCTGCTTTTTAATTTTTTGGGCTCAGGTACCACGCCACGATAGCACCAGGGATCACTGAAAAAGTGCCCGAACACCTCCGAGGACCCTCCTGTTCGTGTTGCAAATTCGTCAGCTAACGTTGGTTTATAAGATTTTATAACTAGTTGATATATGGTGGTTGATTATCTATATTTGATATATTGGTTGATTATTATTTGATCTATTAGTTCTGGTTGGTGGTTTGGAACATGAATTTTATGACTTTCCATCTATTGGGTATATATTTTCCCAACTGACGAACTCATATTTTTCAGGGGGGTAGGTATACCACCAACCAGCTATAATAGCAAACAATAGTGCATGATACTTTTTTTTATTATATTTAGATGGGGTTTTAAACCAACTTAGCGAACTATGGGGCACAAAGCTGTAGGAATCTTATGGATGTTTATGGGATAATCAATGGCATAATTCATGGACTCTAACTCTAACTGGGATAAGTCTGATAAGTAACCAACTATTCTGTAATCAAACATGACTAGCTGGGAAATCCCCTGTACATTTGCGTTTCAATGGGACATTTCTCCAGAAATGAGAGGTTTTTTTGGCTGGGAAGATTAAACATATCTATAAAAAGCCGGTGGATTTTGGTGGATTTGCCATTGCCATCCGGCGTTTTTTTTTTACTGTGAAACTCATCTTCCAAGGCAGATGACTGGCAGAGTCTATGTTACTGGAGGGTAATGATCGGATCATGCAGAATTCATAAGGATCTCATAGGGATTTTTCATGAGAAATTACCAAATGAGCAGTGTTCAGCCGCAACGTCATTCCATTTAGTGAGTCATAGGGATTCCCAGTTCATGGAGGATGATATGTGATGATAATCCTTAATATATTGGATAGCAAGACCTAGTGTCATCAACCATCACGGGTTTTCAACACTGCTCAATTGGGGTGATATAATGGGATAGTCTAAGTGAAACGATGATCTTATATTTCTCGGGGGCCTGAAAGGTCAAATGGGGCTTTAAAATACGGAACTGTTGTGCACTTGGATGTCCATCACGGAAATCGTAAGTCGTTGAATGTTCACACCTATGAGTGTTTGTTTGGCATGGCCATTTGACAGTTGGTAACTAGGCTGCAAACCCAAGTAAGAAAGCAAAAAATTGGATGTGGGTCAAGATTGTCAACCTACAACTTGTTTGTGGTTGGAGATACCCTCCAACAAGTCAATGTGGGAAGTGGAAAAACTCTAATAGTAGATCAAACATGCCGGAATTACAAGAATAGCTCAGTGAGTTCTTTCTACTTTTCTGATTCATGAGCATCATTTTGTAATTTAACATATAGCTATGGACAATCACCACTTTTAATCTCGGTAAATCATCAATGGACCATCTTCCATTGCCTGATTCAGGTGAGCTACCAAGACAAAAAAACAATTAAAAATTACTTTACTTCGTGTGATCCCCACCATGACATTTATACATGTTCTTACTGGCACATCTTCTGGCATTCTATCTGACATATCTTCTGACATTCTATTTGGCATTCTATCTGGCATATCTTCTGGCATATCTTCTGGCATTCTATCTGACATATCTTCTGACATTCTATTTGGCATTCTATCTGGCATATCTTCTGGCATATCTTCTGGCATTCTATCTGGCAAATCTTCTGGCATTCTATCTGGCAGATCTTCTGGCATTCTATCTGACATATCTTCTGGCATTCTATCTGGCATTCTATCTGGCATTCTATCTGGCATATCTTCTGGCATATATTCTGACATATCTTCTGGCCTTCTATCTGACATATCTTCTGGCATATATTCTGACATATCTTCTGGCATATATTCTGACATATCTTCTGGCATTCTATCTGACATATCTTCTGGCATATATTCTGACATATCTTCTGGCATATCTTCTGGCATATCTTCTGGCATATCTATCTGGCATTCTTCTGGCATATTTTCTGGCATTCTATCTGGCAAATCTTCTGGCATTCTATCTGGCATATCTTCTGGCATATTATCTGGCATTCTAACTGGCATATCTTCTGTCATATATTCTGACATA